TATTTTAATGTTTTTGTTTTCCAGTAATCCAATCAGTCTAATTTAACTTCTCCAAGATTCAACAGTACAGTAATGACAGAAGAAGCCAACATAAAAGCTGTTCCAGCTAAATACATTTTTAAAAGTACACAAAGAAGACTGAAAAATGACGTTGCTTTGAGGTGGATTCCCATCTCAAAATATGTTCTGAACTGAGATGCAATCACCTGTTTTTATTCGGCCGTCTCTGCTGATGACTCCGCCCGGTTCGACACTTAAGACATAAATAGGTAGATTCCATTCTCTGTGTGAAGATAGACCTCCTGCCACCGTCATGCCCAGGGACTCTGCATTATCTTTTCGGACAATGACCACTTTTTTGTGACAGGTAACTGCACGAAGGGCACTCTGCGAAGGACAAAGAGCAAACATAAATTCAGTCACTGGGCAAAGAACTTCTCCCGTAGGTTAATTGGGACCAGTTTATCATTCATTCGTTGTTTGATTGTACACCTCCTTAACTCACCTGCCTTCACTATCCCTGTCGTATAATTGTGGAAAAGATGGTGACAAAGTTTCACAACCCATAATACAGAAACAAAAATTATGAACGAGAACTTTGTGTTCTGCCCCAGCTACGGACCCCAAAGAACGCAGCACACACAAACTCTATACAAAGCTTATTTTACTCAAATAACTCCGTCTTTATCAACCAAAGGCTGTTAATAAACTGTCTTAACAGCCTACCAGAATTCTAAGATAAGGTAATCACAGTCTTGCTAGAGTTGGCAGAAAGCCCAGAAACAATTTTGCAGAGAATCCAGACGCAAAGGAGAGTGAACTAAAGTTGTTCCCTACAGTTTGCTGCAATCGGCGTTCCTCCTTAAATAGGCTAAGGGAGTGGCCAATTAGCCCCAAGCCTTACTCTCGAGGAGACCTCCTCCTGAGGAGCCACTCCTGCCTTTTGGCAGCTCTGCGCGCCCGTGCATCGAGAAGAGGCTCCTCCTCTTCTTCCTCTTCAGTTAAAGGAGCTTCTGGAGGTTCTGAAGGCCCTGGCTGAATCCCTGCCTCTGGCACCACCTCTTCTCCAGCCTCCTCACTGTCCGACTCGAGTGCCAGCTGCACAGGCTGCTGGTGCAGCACCACACCAACCTCCTCGCTGTCGGAATCAGCTACAATCTGCACAGGGCACTGACGGGCCACAACACTTTGGAACCATGTATTTATACAAAAAATACAGGTAGTCCCTGACTTACAACAGCTCATTTAGTGACCATTCAAAGTTACAAGGGCACTGAGAAAAGGGACTTTTGACTGTGTTTCACACTTACGACCGATGCAGCATCCCCATGGTCATGTGATCAAAATTCAGATGCTTGGTAACTGATTCATATTTATGACGGTTGCACTGTCCTGGGGTCACGTGATCCCCTTTTGCGACCTTCTGATAAACAAAGTCAGCGGGGGAGCTGGATTCACTTAACCACCATGTTGCTAATTTAACAGTTGCAGTGATTCACTTAGCAACTGTGGCAAGAAAAGTCGTAAAATGGGGCAAAACTCACTTAACAAATGTTTCACTTAACAACAGAAATGTTGGGCTCTTTTTTTTTTAATATTATTTTTTATTAGCCACCGAGCCACCACGTCCCTTATTCTTTGTGTTCTTTGTGGCAGCCCCTCAAATATTGGAACACTGCTATCATGTTGCCCCTAATTCTTCTTTTCTTTAGACTAGCCAAACCCAAATCTTGCAGCCGTTCTTCATATCGTTTAGTCTCCAGGCCTTTGATCATCTCAGAATCATGACTTAATCTAAACTAGGTTAAATAACGACCTAGTTTGCCATACGGAGAGTGCTCTGCAGCTTGAGAGGTACAGTTCGCCACATATTGTAGATGGTCCTCGCTTAAAAAACAGTAATTGGGACTGGAATATCCATCACTACGCAACGTGAGTGTAACATCACGTAACGCTTAGTGGCGGTAGCTCCAGTATCCCCGGTTGTTGTCATTAAGCAAGGATCTCATGCGAGCATCCCTATGGCAGCATTCCCATGGTCACATGATCAAAATTCAGACCGTTGGCCACTGACTCATACTTATGACCATCACAATGTCCCAGCGACTTTCTGGCAAGCAAAGGGAATGGATAAATCAGATTCCCTTAACAACCCTGCGACTAACTTAACAATTGCAATGATCCACTTAACAGCTGCAGGAAGAAAGGTCGTAAGATGGGGCAAAACTCACTTAACCAATGTCTCGCTTTGCAACAGACATTTGGAGGCTCCCTTGGGGTCGTAAATCAAGGACTTGCCTGTACATTATCCAGAAAGGCAAGCAGCAGTTCACTTTTTCCATTTTTCTCCCTGCTTCAGCTAACGACCGGTGTTAGATTCTGATTTTTACATCTGCAATTATTGATTGACTTAAGGCCAGGCACAAACCTTCCATCATCGGAGTTAAAACATGTAGCGGGGATGTAATTTTGAAGGTCTGTTGATTATGGAAGCGTTTTAGTTTCAATCATGAAGAGCTGGCCCTCTGGTTATTGTCAACGCAATTCCAAATCCCTTTCGACCGATCTAACTCTTTGTGTTTATATTTTTTTTAAAAAAAACAAAAAAAAAAACAAAACATTTTCGGTTCAAAGAACAATCAGATACAGGTCTTTTATCAGTAGCTGGGTTCAAGGAATCAACAAGATTTAGGAGTATGTCATCCATACTCTTCAAAAAATAGCTACGGAAATCTTTGCAGTGTGTGTGTGTGTGTGTGTGTGTGTGTGTGTGTGTGTGTGGTCAGCTGTGAGATACGAAAGGCGAGCCATATGTCAGATTTCACCGAGGACAAGCGATATTAAAACTCTCCAGAAACTCAACCCTGCCCCTCAGGAGCACCCAAAGTTTTGGAAACTTGATAAGTTGATTTTCTGAAGATAAGAAATGAGTCTACTGTGATTTATGGATCTATATTTTCCATTTGCGTTCCAAAACAAATTAGGACAGCTGATTTAAACACTGGTTTTTCTTCTATTTCCTAGGCACAGAAGATGTGTGGCTGATGGTTTCTGTTGTGGTCCGCCGGCAGCCTGCAGAGCTGGCAGTGGAGTTGGACAGCGAGGAGGCTGGAGAGGAATATGGGCCAGTCCTGGAGGCTGGGGGAGGCTGGGACGAGGGCTCTGCGTCAGAGGCAGAGATGGGGCCAGGGCCATCTGGGAGTTACGCGTGGACTCCGGAGCCTCCAGAGGCTGACAGTAGAGAGGCAGACGAACAGGGGGAGCGTGTTCCTAGTGCGCGCATGCGCAGAGCTGCCAGAAAGCAAGAACAGCTAAAACAAAAGGGAAGACTCGGGAGTAAGGCCTGGAGATGATTTGCCCCTCCCATAAGGCTTAAAAGAGGGGCAAAGCCACGTGGGCCCTTTGCAGGAAAGCAGCGTTGTTAATTCTGTTCCCAGTCGGCATCTCTGTTTGATTCTGGACTCTGTGTGGCTTTGCCAAGTAGGTCTTTGGCAGCGTGTCAAGGGAGATAAAGGCTGGTAATTATCCCGAAGGACTTTTTGCAACTAATTGGGACTCGGGTGTGAATGAACGTAATTCATAGCTGTTGCAATAAAAGAGGTTTTTGGGACTACTCGTGTGTTTTAATGACTCAGGAAGCTTAGGTCACAACAGATTCCAAAAAAAAAAAAAAAAAAGCAAATTTCTCTTCTGCCTGGCAGAGAAATGAGGTCACTTCCATTGAGGTCTCGAATCTGGGGTGATTTTCCCATCCCGCCTCGTTCTGAATATCTGTGACTTGCTCCTGTGACCACATTTTTGTAAGATCTGACCTGTTGGGACCGTTTTGGGCATCCATGGCTTTGAAAGCATTCCTTGTGGCCGATTGTCTCAGTTTGGAATACTCCCCGTCCTCGACTTGCGACCACAATAGGGGCCGGAAATTCATACCTAAACAGCGTGGTTGCTAAGCGAGTTGTAAGTGCCAATCAACGGTCATAAGTGTGAAAAACGGCCATAAGTCGCTTCTTTCAGGGCCATCATAACTTCGAACCACCACTAAATGAATTGTTTGAAGTCAAGGACTACCTGTACTTGTTAAATATGTCAGTACTGATCAGAGGTCAGATATTTTGATCCTGCTAGTAAGATCTGGGTTTCTTGTTGATGGAGAAGCTCGGTCATCCAGGTCATGGTTTGTCCTAAAGGTGCTTTTTCCAAAAGGCAACTGGACTTCCTTGGTTTTTCCTTGAAGAGGTTTTGCTTCTCATCCAAGGAGCTTCTTCAGTTCTGGCGGAATGGTGGAGGATGGAAGGGTTTACATTCCTTGCAGTCATCTGGTCGTTGGTGCTCCTTCTGAGAGTCGCTGAAGCCACTCGGAGGTTTATCTGCGTCCTCGGGGGTCACCTGAAGAGTGCAAATAAATGGGTCTGGAGCCTTCTTGGAACTGCTGAAAGGACTGTGTCGTGAACAGGAGAGAGGCGTCGTCGTATCCCTCACTAAGTAAATGGGTGTAAATCAAGGACTGCCTGTGTTTTATTCCCAGTCAACAGTTTCAACCTCTGGAACTGCAACTCGCTGAAGAGATGGGCTTGAAATGATTGGCTACGTTTCAGAAAGGGGATTCAGGGCTGATTTGTCTCTGTTCTGCTTTGCAACGTTCTGTCTGCCTCAACGAACATGCCAGCACCGGGGAGAACGGCAATTAATTATTTCTGACGTATGGCTTATCTGCTGAAAACGTGGCAGGATGTGTGTCGTTAATGAGCAATTTGAAATTAATTGTTTGTCGCTTCCGTGAAAGTCGCTGGGCAGGCGTCGTAATCCATTACTAAGGTTGCTGAACGCCGTCAAAGAAAAAAATAAAAATAAAAAATAAAAATAAAAAAAAGTCTAATGAAGTATTTAAACTCCACGGGAGGTCTTAGGGACGTCCGTGCCTCCTACCAGGAATACTGTACCAAAGAGTGGAGCCTCCATTGAATAAATTACATAAATACTGTATTTTAAACTGCAATTACCATCCGCGCATTGCCTCGCTCAGAAAGCATATTCCCCGGGATGAGGAATGGGGAGCGTTCAGGAGGAACTGGAGCAGCTCCTTCGCAGAAGCATTCAAGGGGACCTTTTTAATGAGCGGATGGCAAGTGAGCTCGGCCAACGGTTCAAACCCTTCCTCCCCAAAGGAACCTCGTCAAGGAGAATAAATACCCGCATCCAATTTAAATCCGTATTCTATTCGTTTCCTCCACAGCGGAAAGCGGAAAGTTTTAATGGCAGGCCAGTCCACGTTTCTTTCTTTGAAGGAACTCCTTTGACAGACAATTGAGCCCAACATTTCTGTTGTTGCTAAGCGAGACGGTTGTTAAGTAAGTAATCCCCCCCCGGTTTTTACGACCTCTATTCTTGCCATGGTTGGTAAGCGAATCACTGCAGCTGTTTAAGCTAGTGAAGGAACGGATCAGACATCCACCCTGGCTTATCTATGGAGACCGAGTGGAGCAAGTGGCCAGTTTTAAATTTCTGGGTGTTGTCATAAAAAGAGGACCTGACCTGGGGCACTCACATTGCAGCCCTGGTCAAAAGGGCCCAGTAGAGATTCTACTACCTGAGACTTCTCAGGAAACAACAACTGAAGGAAAAACTGCTGGTGACCTCCTACCACTGCACCATGGAGAGTATTTTAACTTACTTGCACCTGTGTCTGGTTTGCCCATGGCACAATGGCAGATAGGACAGCGCTCCAGAGGGTCAACGCCATTGCCCAGAGGATCATTGGTGCCCCCTCCCCTCTTTGGAAGAGCTTTATAGCTCCCGCTGCCTTAAGAAAGTTCAAAATGTTCTTAAAGATCCATCTCATCCTGGGCACCCTTTTTTTTTTGGAACTATTACCATCTGGCAGCCGGTACAGGACAATAAAAAACAAGGACAAACAGGCTGAAAAACAGCTTCTATTCCAGGGCAATAACCATATTGAATTCTACGGTATGGTGCAATATCGGTTTTACAATTTCAATTATATGGAGTGTAAAGGATGTATGTTTGTGTTTTTTATTTTTATAGTTATAATGTACACCGAAGACGGCATTTAATTTCATCGTGCCATGTGCAATGACAATAAAGTAAACTAAACTAAACTAACGTGAGTTCCCCATTGACGTTACTTACCAGGCCGTCGCAAAAGAGGATCGCACGACCCCAGGACACTGCAACCCGTTGTAAGTACTTGCCAGTTGCCGAACGTCTGAATTTTGTGACCATGGGGAAGCTCGACAGCCGTAAGCGTGAGAAACGGTCATAAGTCCCTTTTTTCAATGGCGTTGTTAAGTCCGAACGATCACGAAACCAACTGCTGTTAAATCAGGACTACCTGTAATTTACTTGTTTCAAAGCCAAGGGTTGGACTAGAAGACCTCCAAGGTCCCTTGCAACTTGTCTGTTACTCTGTTAAACTGGAAGCCACCGGTGGAATCATTTCTAACAAATCGGCCACCTTCCTCTTAAAACAGGAACCGGCTTCAGGGGTTTGCCATCCAATCAGTTCCGGTTTGGATCCGTGTCCAGGCTAATCTGCTATTCAGTCTCCCTCTCATTAACATATCCGCCTTAATTGGCATTTCATCCTAGCATTGTCTCCCCCCGAAAGGAACAAGGTGTAATTATGTTAAAGAGAGCAGTTCGGTGGTTTTTGAGTTTAATTCACGTCATTCATTGCCATCAGAATGGGCACAGATGTTCCATTGCGCGCGATATGGAAAAAGAAGGGGAAGGGGGGGAAAAAAACCTAATTTTTGTTTTTTCGAGTTGGGAAAACTTTTTTTTTTTAAAGGAAAGTTATTTAAGCGAAGCGCGCCGCACGCTGTATTTTTCTCCCTTTGTTTTCTCGCTGGCTTTCTACGTCGCTCCCCTTTTCAAAAAGCGATTTCTGTGTAATTGGATTTTTTCCGTGTTTTTTTTTTTTTCTTCTTCTTCCAAACCGACAGCTGTGTTTAAAATCTAAAGATCTTTGTTGAAGCACACAGCGGTGCAGGAAACAGTCCCCAACAAAGCATCTTTCTGTAAACACTTGATTACCAAGAAAGACGGTTTTCAGAGGGATCTGTCACTTTGTGTGTTTGGGGGGGGGGGGGGAAATCTTCTTACCATTTAAAATTCCGCTTAAAAAATGGACACCCAAAGATGTGTCTTTTTTCTTCAGATGTCCCAGAACAAAACCAATATACATTTGGATAAGTGCGCTGGTTGAAGTTTAATGCAAATGAGAAGCAAATTGACAAACCAGCAGCTTTCCAAAAAAAATAAAATAAATGTACTGATACTTAACAGAATTCTTCAAAAGGCTGAATTTTCTAAGTAGTTGGGTGAAAAATTCCCAAACAGCTTCATGTTTTGGTCCAAACCTCAAAAGTCAGCAAAACTGAGAATAATATTAAGCGGTGCAGAACTTTTTAAAATCTTCCAAAAGAGAAATAAGATTAAAAAAATCATATCGAATTGTGACTCGGTGAAGGCCAAATTCACACTGAGCATTATTCTTATAGACATGGACAGGTAATCTTCCACTTACGACCACAACTGAGTCCAAAATGTAGGTTGCTAAGCGAGATGTTTGTTCAGGGAGTTTTGCCCCATTTTATGACTTTTCTGGCCACTGTTAAGTCAATTACTGCGGTTGTTAAATGAGTCACATGATCGTTGAGTGAATCTGGCTTCCCCGTTGACCTCATAAAAGGTGTGTGGCACACACACCACCCTGGGACATGGCAACGGTCATAAGTACGAAACAGTTGCCAAGCATCTGAATTTTGATCACACGATCAGGGTTCCTTTAGTGACGGTTCAGAATTACGACGACACTGGGGGGGGGGGGGAGTGACTTATGACCATTTTTTCAGAGTTACGACCTTCGTAACATTCCCCATGGTCACGTGATGAAAAATTCAGATGCTTGGCAACTGGTTCATACTTACGACCTGTGTTGTGTCCCTGGGTCATGTGATCCCCTTTTGCAAGATCGATGTGGGGAGCCAGATTCACTTAACAACCAGGTGGCTAACCTGTCGGCGGCAGTGATTCACTTAGCAACTGCGGGAAGAAAGATCGTAAAATGAGGCAAGGCTTACTTGAATGTCTCGCTTAACAACAGAAATTTTTGGAGGCCCAATTGTGGTCGTACGTTTATTTATTTATTTATTTATTTATTTATTTATTTATTTATTTATTTATTTATTTATTGGATTTATATGCCGCCCTTCTCCCGAAGGACTCAGGACGGCTCACAACAATAAGAAACAGAAAATACAAAAGTTAAAAGATAAATTAAAACAGAGTATCCAATAAATAAAGTTAAATGTGGGAATATGTAGGTAGTTGAGGACTACCTGCATATACTTCTTAGGGATACATGGGTGTTTCTCTCAGCTGCATTAGGAACATTTAAGTCTGGTTATAACCAAATAAAAACGATGAATAAATAAAGATTAGGCTTATAACTTAGAACGGGCAGGGAGAACTTTTTAAGGAATTCCTTGGCGAGCAATTCTCGATGAAAAATGCTTCTTCATAAGCAGAGGGACACGGGTTTTTTTTCAGACCTCTGCATTACTGATGGAGAAGAAATAGTGTTATATCTATTATTCTGTCATCATAAAAGCATGCAATATTTCATTTTCACTATCCTAATAGTTCTCACACTCTGCTTCCAGCATTCAAAAGTACCCAAAAGCACCCTGGGGGGGGGGGGGGGGAATATACATTTCAAAACAAAATCAGAATTTGAAGTTTTTGGGTTTGTTTTTTTTTTAAAAAGGAGCCATTATAATGTAATCCATGATCACCGGATGTAAACTAATATTATATTCTGAGTAATCCCCTTCTTCCAACAACAAACGAACCATTTTGTGCCTCTAAAAGAAGCACAAGTGTTTTGTGTTAGGTGTGAGATAATATTTCGGCTTGAATTAATCACAAATCTTCAGACGTTAAGACGCTTCGATACGAAAAGGTATTTCAATTCCTCGTTCTACGCCCTTCAGCTTTTAGTGTTTTCTATCAACCGTAAGAAGAGGATTATTCTTCTGCAAAAAGGACATGTTGAATTCTCCAACTTTTATGGTATTATTATCATTCCGCACTTTTAAACAGGTAACGTATTGCAAATCCTTAAATAGGGAAACAGTAGGAGGTCCCTGAGTTACGACGACAATAGGGACCACAAAAATTCATCGTTAAGTGGTGCAGTTGTTAAGTGAGGCATCATGTGACCACAGAGCACTTAACGACCTTTTTTGCCACGGTCGCTGAATGAGACATCGCATGACTGTGACTTGAAAGCCTTCCCTGTCCGCTTCCCTGTTGACTCTGCTTGTTGGAAGCCAGATGGGAAGGTGCAAGAGTTCATCGCCGTCGTAAAGGCGAGACAGTTGCCAAGTTCCCAAATCACACTCGTGTAACTCTAGGGATGATCATGACGGTCACAAGTGCAAGGACTGAGCAGTCGCTAAATGAATATTCGTAAGTCAAGGACTACCTGTATAATATATATATACATATACATATCCATTCCTACCTTCCTACCTACCTACCTATGTATCTATCTATCTATCTATCCATCATCTGCCTATCATCTTAGCTATCTATATCCATCCATATCTATCTATCTATCTATCTATCTATCTATCTATCATCTCTTTAATCTCTTATCTATCTCTCTGTCCTATCATCTATCTGTCCATCCATCCATCATCTGTCTGTCTTATCATCTATCTATATCCATC